TTGTCCAGGAGTGTTTTTTACTAGTGAAGAGACTGGAGCCAAAGGAAGAAAAAGACCCATCTGGCACCGTTAGGTCATGGCTGAAGACCCCAGAAAAAGCAAAAGTTAAGCTACTCTTTGGATCCTTACGGGGGTCTGATCAAAGGTCAAACAAGCGTTACCTTTACCATGCAAAGTTCCAAAAGCATCAAACTTTGTAATATGAGCTACTTTATGGAGAGCCATATTTCATATCCCACAATAAAAAAGCATTTGATGAACCAACTATGAGCAAATTCCCTCTTAAAGAAAGCTTGTGAGGACAGAGACAGACCATGCCCTCCAAGTTGCTGTTCAGTTTGCCTTCAGGCCAGGGAAAGAGTTCTTGTTAAATTTAAAGCTGCTGTGAAATGGACTGATGGGATCAACTTCTGGTCATCATTCAAGGCTTTCTTCCAAAGCCACCAGAGTCAGCAATACCAAATTACCTCCTGGGGCCAGCGCTCCAAATGCAATGGGGTTTTGCCAGAGTGGCCTCTGCTGTTGGTACCAAAATGAGCCTGGCCACTTCTATCTACCACTCCCCACCTGTGCATCTTCACACTGTCAGGCTAGCCACACATGGGCAGCCAATTCTACCTCCACGTGCACCAGGCACTGGCTCTGTGCCAGGGGCACAGGAATTCAAGATGAGGGAGGACATGGAGCAGGTAACGTGAGGGAGCTTGAGGTCTGGAGGAGACAACCCTGGGCTAAGAGGCAGCAGCTACAATCGGGGCAGGGCTTCAAAAGACGTCTGCCTCCAGTTCATGGAAAATGGAATGAAAACATTTGGGTACAAACAATATCTGAAATCTGTGCATAACCTTTTCATAATATGTACTTTCAGGAGTGTTTTGAAGATCCTTCATATGCATGGATTTAGATTTTTTTTTTTGCACCAAAAACAAACTTAACCTTTGAATTCCATTTTCCATGAACTTTCTGAAGTCCCTTTGAACACTGAGGAAGAGGAATGTGGGGACTATTGAGGCAATACACTGAATGGTAACTGGTTTCACTCACTGCTGTACTGTGAAGCTACAACCATAGCCTTACATAGGCAAAATCTGAGAATGTGGACCACAGGAGTGGAAGTCAGGACACCACGGCGAGCAACCAATGATAAGTAGTAAAGAGAATCCTGTCCTACTCCCAAATCCTCAGCCCCCTGGACATTCAGAACCTGCACAACACACGGCTGTAGCCCAACTATTTCACTTGGGAGATGATGAGCTAGCTAGAATTCGCCCCAACTTTCCTTATCACAAGTAGCCTTAAGGGGACACAACATGGGCAGTCGCTGCCAGTATTAGTCATTACCTGCAGTGAACAAACATAAACCCTGGGGGAAGAGATGCCAAACGGTGTAGGACATTGCACGGCTCAGGGGGTCCTCGGCAGAAGGAGCTGCAGTCAAAAATCCTGCCGCACAGATTCAACACTGTACAAGGGAATCTGCCCCCTAAAAGTCCAGGAAACAGGCCACTCTTAAATAAAGAGAAAGGGAAAGAAAGACACAGGACAGGCAATTGTTTCCATGGTTGATAGCCTGGGAGGCTTCCACAGGAAAGTTCTTAGCCACTCCTATCAGGAAGCTTGATGGACACCCGGAATTTTTTGTTAGAGGTTTTGAGGAGGTATTCATGCTGAAACACAAAACACCAAGAGGGGCACAGGACTCCCAGGGCAGACAGCTGGCAGCTGGAACCGCTCTCTGCCCCGAACCACCTGATGGCCTGTTTCCTTCCCAAAGTGCTCAAGAAGTATTGCTATAAATACACCAGGACGTCAAACAATGACAGCAAAAGGCTCTTCCCGCCACTAAGTCGGCTTATGCTCCCAGGTCATTTAGCATTGGTCCTCTCAACTACAAAGGCCTTCATGCCATTTACAAAGTGGTGATCAGAGACCTAAATGCAGTGTGCTCAAACCAGGGCTAAAGGAGAACATTGAGATCTAATGGGTCACTGAGGATGACTAGGGCCTCCCAATCTTTTCATGTCATTTCCGTTTGTCTGCTTTATTTGTTGCTGTTAAGTATAATGAGTCATAGTTTATAGATCTTTCTCCTCTGCCCAAAATGCAAGTTTTCTTTTCTTCCCCCTGAAGAGAATGGCATTTAAACAAACAATACTGGGAAGCTTCAATATTCATCTTCTTGGAATATACTAACCTAAGCTGGATATAGCAGGAAGGAATTTTAGTGGAATTATTGTTATAACACAGTCTTAACCTATTCAGGCATGAGACCGTATTTCAAAACGCAACCCGTTTACAAAAACAAATGTCAATTGGAAGAGTGGCCCATTTTACAAAGCCTGCCTCTAACATGGAATAAATCTTGCCTTCAAGTCACAATCTATTGTTGTAATCTCCTTTATCTGAAACAATCAAATCATTCACACTGAGAGGCAGAAAACAGGGTCAGAGAATCCAAGCATTTAGACAAGAGAAGCAGTGCGAACCTGGCCAAATCCTGTGGGGCTGATGGAGGGCAGCCCACCTACTGGTCTGTCCCCTCCCTCCCGCAAGACTCCCTCCTCTCACCCTGGTTCTCTAGCACAGCAACTCAGACACTGAATAAATAGCAGTTTCTAATGCCACCTACAAAGCCATCAAAGCTGGCTCCCTAGGGACCCAGGCCAATTCTAAGCATCAAAGATTTACAACGCGGTTCTGCTCACTCCCTCAAACCCAGCTAGCACAATCTTGGCCTCAGACACTGGCTTGCTAAGCCACCCGACACTCGGCACCAGTCCTCTACCTTCTTCGTTCTGTCCCATTTGTTTTCCAAGTCTTTGCATCTTTCTGCTCTAATTAGAGGGTAAAAGGGAATCACTACATTGCCTTTTTTTTTTTTTTACAAAGTGGTAAGTAAAAATTACATATGATCTTTCTTACCACAACAGACAAGACAAACTCAAGATACCACTCTCAGGTTGCCCTCAGTTCCACCTACTACAAAACATTATGAATCTTTAAACTTCTGTGTCCTACGAATCATAAAAACATCTCTGAAATCTTGAAAAAATATAAACAATGGTTTTGGTAAAACTGACACACATCTTGGAAAATGAGCTACTTTGGACTTGAAGTCACGTGAACTCTGTTTTTAAAAATACCACAGTAGTACGACAGTAACTTTTACCCTTCAAAAGAGCTTCTGATTTTGATCTTAGAAAAGAAAAATATCTCCACAGAAGAGGTGAGAAAAACCCACAATGACGGTTCTTTTCAGATCAGAAGACAATACATTCGATCAACGTCTGACCCACTTGTGGGGTAGGAGTGTGCCAGAAAGAAGTCCATAACACCCGAGGACCCACTCGCTCCATGCTAACAGCACACATAACACCGCTTTGTGATGCGTATGGTCAGGTCAGCCCAGTTTGGTCTAAAACTGTAAGAAATTAAATATAACCAGGCACTTCATACTATCAATTTGCTGCCAACTTGGTCAGTTGGCATGGAGGCCCTCTAAAGCCCCCCACTCATGTTGAGCTATATGCTTTTCCCTTTAAAGCCACTTCAGACCCTGCAGCACTAAAATCCAATGCCGAAGGTCTGACCACATTCTCAAAGCTGATGGTGGGAGTAATTCAATGAATCCCCCAAGACCAGACTTGGAATGCAAGTTTTGTACACGCAGCAGTCATACTTGGGTTGTAGTCACTATAAATGTTAGTCTATTAGGAGCTACTATTCCTTAGAGTGCAAGCAAAAAGCATCCTAGCAAACAGGCTTTGAAGCAGGCTGCCCTCCCCACACACACAAAAGGTTTTTGTGAGTCGAGCATACCAAAGAACTGCTTAAAGCTTTTTCCTTTTCAAGCGGAGCTCAAAATAGATTTCAGTGCTCCAGCGTGGAAGCTGCAAACAGCCAAGGCTGCCTTCAGCCTGCACACAAGGAAACAGATCTTTCCACACCAGGGACAAGTCTGGCGTGGTTAGGGCTCATCCTCACCGCCCCCGCAATGACATTTAACGGTGGAGGGCAGAGGGAGAGGATTTGACTGCTCGGGAAGGAAGGCCTTGGTGTTTTTAAGCTGATGTTTTTAGAGATAATATGAATAACCCTACCGAGACAAAGATCATCTCAGCCACCACCAATGACACTCCCTGGGGAGAGATGCTATGGTGGGGATGGGGGGTGCGTCTCAGGTGTGCAGGCAGGGAGGAAGTGCCCCAGCCCCGCTGCCGCTCCTCCAGAACCTCACAGAGCTAGTGTCTCCCGGACAGCACTCCCCCAGCCCCGGCTCCGAGGCAGCTGGCCAGCCGGGCAGCCACCCGTTTCCATGCACTTGTCAAATGACTCGCGTCTGCGCTAGGCTGCCCTGTTCCAGGGTGGTTGTGGGGGGTGGGGGTCCCCGCCTGCCCTACTCGACAAACACTCCCAACCCCAGGGCCTGGGCGGGCTCCTAGCATGCGATGACGGGCACGCCAACTGCTATCCCACAAATGAATGAACGGGGACGGGGGAAGGGGGCTATCAGGCAGTAGGGACACCACGTACACGGAGACCCGGGAGAGAGGAAACGCAGCGGAGCGAGGGGGGCGGTCACCCTTCCCCTCCCTCTCCGGGGTGGGGGGAGACAAAGAAAGGACATCTAGCAGCAGGGGTGGCCCATCCAGACCCCGGGAGACAAAGAGGGGGGACCCGTCAGGAGGCGGGGGCGGCGTGCCAGGGGTCCGCGCTCCGCCCGAGCAGGAGCAGAGGAGGTAGGTAGGTGGAGGGGCTGTGGCATCCGGTCGAGACGCATACCCACTGGGGACTGGAGGGGGGGGGCGAGGGACAAAGAGAACGGATCGGGGATGGGGTGGGGGTGGGGGGACGACCCGTGCCCCTGAAGGATCGAATCCTCAAGCCGAAGGGTGAAGACAGAGGGTGAGATCGCGAGCTAGGACGCGGTTCCCGGGCCCCGAGGGGGACGTCCAGGCGGCCCCAGCGAAGGGCCTGCGTGCTCTGGGGCGCTCCCCCACCTGGTAAATGGCCGCCCAGCTCCCGGCCTTGTCGATCTGCTCGAACTCCTTTTCCATCTCCATGCCGGGCCAGGGCGGCTGCCGCGCCTCCTCCCTCCTCCTCCTCCCGCTCGGCCCGCTGCCGCCGTCTGCCTCTCTAGGCCGCCGTCGCGCTCTCCAGCCCCAGGCCCGCCGCACCCCGCGACTCGCGCCGCTACCGCCGCCCTCGACGCCGCTGCTTCTTCATGTCAACCCGGCAACCGGAAGTACGCACAGCGCCCGTCGCGGACCCCGCCCTCGCCGCGACACGGCCAATCAGCGCTCGAGGATGTCAGCCAGCACTTCCGCGGGGCGGAGCCCGGGGGAGGTGCTCCGGGAAGCGGCCTCAGCCCTTGGGCCTGGGCGACCGGGTTCGGGCGGGGCGCGCGCGCCCGTTGCCTGGCAACCCGGCGGCCCCGCCCTTGGCGCGTGGGCTCCGGAGGGCAGGTCGGCTCTGGGAGTCGGGGCTGCGGCGAAGCGGCTGTGACAGAGTGCGGGACCTTCCCGCCACGCGAGCGCCCCGGCTTAGAGTAGAGGGCCGCCACCAGCCACCCCTCGCCTTTGACTCACCGGGCCTGGCCAAGGTAGCGTCTGCCATTAGGGCACCGCAGGAGCTAATGGGTGGGTCTTGTGTGTGCGTGTGTGTAGGGGGACGATTTTCAGGCTTACAGTGTCAAAGCAAACTGTGGGGCTCCTGAAAATCACCTGAACCCCCAGGACCTGCCTCCCAAGCATTTGGAACCTGCCTGCCTGCCCCCAAGCAATCCCAGCTAATTCGCATTCACACAGGGGCAGAGGGGTTTGGCTCCAGTGTAGACCAGCCACATCTGCGCCTAGCTGGTGGCGAGGAGCTTGTGGAGGCCCCTGCTCTCCTGGCCAGCCAGTCGGTGCCTAGCAGCTGCCTGGTATTATAGGTCGCATTCCAGCTCAGTTGTTGAGCGCTGGGGCCTGGCGCTCCCAGAATGCTGCTCTGCTTTCATCTCCACAGCGACCCTCTGCCACAGGCAGGCCGTTTGCCTTTTGGGGGGAAGTGAGACACAGAAGGGTAAGCGTGGCCCCCGAAAACTGGCAGGGAAACCAGGATTATAACCTGATTTCTCGGGGATGGGATAAGACTTAGCGTTGGGACCTGCTGCATGGGTCCCCAGACTACCTCTGCTGGGTCCTAGGGGTGCAGCCTCGTGCAAGCCGAGCTAAGCTCTGTGCCTCTCCTCTCTCCCTAATAGAAATCCCCATCTCTCATGAAAATGTGAGAAGATTGATCTGTAACCCTCCTAAGTTACAGACTTTCTAACTATAGCAGGTGGGTAGGTAAATGGATTCCCAGGAGGTATCCTTTGAAACTGAGTGTCCCCCAGGGAGAGCCGAAAAGTGTGGGAGCCCGGCACCAGACAGCTGCCTGATTGACCCCAGGGCTCTTTGAGGCCCTTGGGTTCTCTGAGTGCTGGTTTGCTTGGAGTGCTTGGGTGGAGCAAGCAGTACACAGAGCTGAATGAGTAAATAGATGTGGTGCCCATCCAGAGCCCAAGTGCCACCAGTGACCAGCTCAGCCTTTGGGGCCACCCTCAGCCGGGGGGGGGGGAAGACTCAAGCCAGGATCAGGTTTGGGCTGTTCAGTGGTTATACTGGTTCCTTGGGCTGCTTTCATGAATGACCACGAATGGCAGAATGTATTCTCTCAACAGTTCTTGGAGCCAAGAGTCCGAAGGTGTCCACAAGCCTTCTCCCTGTGGGGTTGGGGAGAAGTGCTCCGTCCCCCAGCTCGGAGGCGGCAGCTGTGGTGGCCCCGCCCTGCTGCAGCCTCCTGCTCTGTGTGGTTCCTCATTTCCATCTGTCTAATCTCCCTCTGCCCCACTCTTAGAGGGACACCTGTTGCTGGCATTAGGGCCCACCCTAAACCAGATGGACCGGGCAATTCCAGGTAATCCTGATGATCTCAGCGTGAGATCATTAAGGTAGTTAGCTCTGCGGAAACCCTTCTCACAGTCAGCTCACAGATATTGTGTATTAAGACTACAGAGTATGAAACCTTGTTTACAAATGTTATGAATGAAACCCCCAATTTAAGTTCCAGCTAACTGACCTTTACATCCATTGTTCACCTAACAGCAGCCAGAGGGAGATGTTGTTTGATTTATTTATTCATTTGAAAGGCAGATTTACTGAGAGAGGGAGAGACAGAGAGATCTGCTGTCTACAGTTCACTCCCTAGATGACCACAATGGCTGGGGTTGGGCCAGGCTGAAGACAGGAGCCAGGATCTTCTGGGTTTCCCACATCGGTGTAGGGGCCCATGCACCTGGGCCATCTTCTGCTGCTTTCTCAGGCATATTAGTAGGGAGCTGAATTGGACAGAAGGCAGCTAGGACTCGAACCAGTGTCCATAGGGGATGCTGGTACTGCAGGCAGCAGCTTTATCCACCATGCCACAGTATCAGTACCTGCAGCCTCGTTTTTTACTCCACCCTTATGAGATTGTCTGATATTAGGGACCTCAACTTTTTAGATCTTCATTCATGTTAATTTTATGTGAGAGACAGGGAGGGAGAGAAATATCTTCCATCTGCTAGTTCACTCCTCAAATGCTCGTAGCAGTTGGGACTAGGCCAGGCTGAAGCTAGGAACCAGTAACTCAGTGTGGTTCTTGAGCTATCTCCTGCTGCCTGCCGGAGTGCCCATTAGCAGGAAGCTGGTGGCACTGGAGGAGCCGGGACTTGCCCAGGAACTCGGGAGAGGGTATGTGGGCATCCCACGTAGTGTCTTACCTACTGTGCCAAACTCCCACCCTCAGCTTTTTTCCCTGTGTTCCATCACCTGCTGTCAGGTCAGGAGGAGGGGCTACAGGTGCCAGGGTCCTCTGGGATGCTGGACTCTGCTGCCAAGTCCCACTGATCCTGTTGAGGTCAAGGCTGGAACAAGCTGCACCCTGGGATCCCCCAGCAAGGGGACAGTGCTGGCTTGGGCATCTATTAGTAGTGACCCATGAGGAAAAAACAAATGGGCCTCTGTCATGATGGTGAAAGCCCTTTCCTGGCGGGCAGGCCTCAAACGGCTACTCCGACCTCTCCTGCATGGATTTGGCTAATGGAGAAGGAAGTCAGCACTACAGATCAATGACCCATTAAACTTTGAAAAATATCCTACGGGTTGTCAATGGAGGGCATGGCTGTTTATTGGACCTGCAGCCAATCTCTGGCTCTGGGCTTGGCAATGTCAGTGTGTTTCCAGGTCACCTCCTTGTTGCAGTCTTTTCCCTCGAAGGCAGCACAGGACCCACACTGGGTGGTGTCTGGTGAAACGTCACTTCCTCGGAGAAGCCCTCTTTGAGCTTGCCCCCATCCACAGTGCCCTGCATCTCTACTTCTTGGTGTGTCCCTCGTGTTGCCAGGCAGGTCTCCTGGTGTCTGCTTGTTGCATGTGCATTTTCTACTGTCTCTGCTGCCAACTGTAAACCCCCTGAGGACACATGACCAAGCTGGTGTGCTTCAGTGCTGTCTTCCTTGAGCAGCAGGTCATGCCCATGAGAGCCCCCCACCTCCCACAAGGCTCCAGAAACTGAGCTGACAGGGCTTCTCCTCACCTCAAAGACTCAAGCAGCCAAGAGTCCTCAAGGTCATCCAACTCCCTCTGTCTGCTCCTGGGGACACAGAACCAGGAAAGGTGACCTTTTCCTTCTGAAGTTCACACCTACTCTCCTCTCATAGAATTGGGCATCGTGACTGGCTGGCTCATTTGGGGTAGCCACAGACACCCCCAAGGTGGAATCACTCACAGGATGATGCCAAGGCCCAGAGTGCTCGACCCACAGGACCCACAGCCATGAACAGTGTTAGTTGACAGTGTTGGCTGTGTCACAGCCCACAGGTGCAAGCCTGGTGTTGACCTGTTTTACAGAGGAGTGGCTGGCTGTTTAGGTGAGGTCGGTGAGCACCCATTACAGAGGGCTGGCAGGCTGGTGGGGCATCAGAGCTTTCCAGCCCATGGTCTGTGGCTCATTGGTATTCATGCGCAGGGCCAGTTGCCTCTGCTGGTGGGAGCCTGCAGGCTGGACACTTTCCAATGAGGAAAACCCAGTTGGCCATGGCTTTTGCAGAGCAGGGAGTTTATTGGCTTGTGAACCTGGGATGCACAAAGGTGACTTGCTGAAGACATGGTGAAGTTCAGGAGCTCCCCACAGTGGCAGGAAGACTTGGTCTCCCAGCAGCTGATTGCCAGGACCACTCAGACCTAAACCACTCACAGCTGCTTCTTCCCACCGGTCCCACCACTCATCTGGACCTTGAGTCCCATTGGCTAAGGGAGGTCCCACTGCTGTCTCTGAGCTCATCTCTGTCCAGGGAGGACTCTGACCAGTGAGTAACGGAGGCTGGGAAGAGGGAATCACTTAACTGCAGTCCTACTCTATAAGGGAAGAGAAATTTAGACATAGGCTGGGGATCTGAAGGTGCAAGTTCTCAGTCATGACACTGTCAACTTCCTCCAAGAACTCCCATGAACTCTGAAACTGACAGCAAGGTTGTCCATGGTAAAGGTTACTGCTGAAGGCCATGTGGCCTGCACTGACTCCTGTTGGAGTCCTAGCACATGGCAGCTGAGCTGCTCACCCATGCTCACATAGAGATAGAGGAGCCAAAGTTTGAACCTAGTTTCCTTCTGCATGCTGCTTCTGATTTTGAAATTCTACACCTGTGTGAGTCCCACGGCACTTTCGAACGTGCAGGAAGGCTGGCCACCTGGAACCCCCTCCCTGCTGTCCCCATGGGGCTTCTATTCGCCCCAGCTTCCTCCTACCGTCTGCCAAGAGCAATGCAGACTGTAAGTCATTAAAAAGAAACCAAAAATAAAGCCATAAATATCATCCCAAGCTGACTGTCTCACAAGAGCAACTTCCCGATGGAAGGTAGTGGTGAAGTTATGGGGGAAGCAGGGACTAGGGGAGTCACATGTGTTCTGAGAAGGGACCGTCAGAGATGTGGGGGAAGGCTCAAGGGGGGAAGTTGAACTCAAGGTTGGAAACCATGGCTGGTCCTTGCTTCCAGCAAAGAAGAAGTCAGGGAGGGCCCCCAGAGGCCAGGCCACTTCCCCATGCTCCAGTTTGCAAGGTTGTAGTTGGGAGGTGGGGAGAATTTGGTTGTTTCACAGTGGTCTGATGTGGTGTGGGAGTCTGGCTGACTCAGGCTCTGT